GTAACCCTTCCGGCAGCCACTCTATCCCAGCAGCACCAAACGCTGCGAGTACTTGGCAAAATCCAGCTCGGAACCGGTTACCATGCCCTCCGGCCGTGGCATCTTACCTCTGGGCAGCAACGCTCAGGCATCAGTTACTCACCTCCGCCTCAGCCACTTCACCTCTTGTCACCAAGGGCGCCCGGAAGGTTAGAGCCGTCCCTGTCCCTTTAAGGGGGCCGAGCTCAGGCTCTGCTACTTCCGCCCCAAAGCAACATGGCGCCAGCAGGGAGAGGAGGAGGTATGGGCGCGGGGATAGCGCCCCTCAAAAAGATGGCGAAGCCCTGGGCGCCGCGTTCGCGCCTGACGGTGACGTCACTTCCGGGGCGGAGGAGGCTGAGTGGTGCAGTGAGGGACAAACAAAAGGAGGCGCCGGAGGGGCGCAGTGGCCGGCGGCGGGACTGAGCGGCAGGGGTCCAGGGGCTGCCTGCTGGGCGGCCGGGCGTGGCGGGCCCAGGTGAGTAGGTGGGGTGGAGAAAGGGGCGCGAGCTGTCACCTCCCAGAACCCACTCCTACACGCCCCGGCCAGCTGCCCGGTCCTGGGCGCCCCAGGCAGCCTTGGCTCTGCGTGCTGGGGCCGGCTCCCTGGGGCCTCCCGCAGCAGTTCAGTTCTGCCTACGTCCGGGCTCCCTCCTCCCCCGGGTCTCCAGGACCGCACCCTCTCCCTGGTGCCGCGGCGCGCGAGCCCCCTCCCAGGCACCCCGTGCCTCCCTGCGCTCTACATACTGGGAGTTTCCGCCTCGGCTCCCCCAGGTCCCCTTGTCACCCCCTGGGTTCCCCCAGATCCTCAACCCTCCACACACACACCCCTGCTAAGTAGAGGTTCACCTCTGGGGTCTCTTCTTGTCAGATCTTTTTCGTTTTCAAAGGTTTCTTCCTGCTCCCTTCTTGGGTTGCCGGACCCCTCCTCTCCCTTTGGACCCCTCCCTCCTCTTGATCCGGCGGGAACAGTGTCCCGACTTGAGGGCAGGATCCCTAGCTGGGCTCTTGGGGGCCTGTCTAAGCTGGGGTTCCTGGGAAGACCTGTCCGGGGCCTGGAGCCCCAGATCGGCCCGTGTCCTGTGCATCCAGAAAGGCCTGAGGGCCAGATCTGATTAGGTCCGGGCTTGTCCCGCTATCGGTGAGCGGAGATCCAGCAGAGTTGGCTCCCAGGCTGAAGGAGCATTGTCCCGGGTCCTTAGGGTTCATGATGATTCTGCTCCTTTTGTTGACTGCCTTTTCCTTGGTCTGGACTGGAGTGAACCAAGATTGGGCTGGTTCTCAGATGATGCAACTGCTGCCTTTTTTGGAAGGGAGAGATGGTTGGGGGGTGTCCTGAAGCCTCTTCCTGGTGGGGACTTGGCTGAAAGGGTGGAGCAGGCATTCGCCTTACTTACCTCTTCCCCTGCCTTACGCCAGGAAACCTTTTGAGGATGAAGTGTGAAGATGAGGAGAGAGAGAGCTAGTGAGGGAAAGGGAATTTGGGCCTAAATTGTGGAGGAGGGATTTGGGGGAGCAGAAAGCCTTCCGAGAGCCTCTCCCGCTTTTCTGTTAGGCGTCCCCATAACCCCTGCCAAACTGTATCCTGCCGCCTGAGCAAACATACTGGCAGACAGACAGACTGGAGGCAGAAGAAAGAGGTCTGCTCTTGGTGATACTTCCTGTGGAGAGGATGGAAGAGTGGGAGTTTATTCCGAGGGACTGGGCAGTGCCTGTGGCTCAGTCACATTGGCATTGCCTTCATGAAGGTCAGGTCTTCCTCTGGCTCACCCGGGAGGCAAGGATAGGTGACTTGTGCTGGAGGACTGGCCTTTGGATAGAAGCTGGGGCATGAATGACATAGCCTCTGCCTCCCTGTCTTCCCAGTTTTAGAGATTCTTTGGGGTTTGGTCTAGTGCCCCCCTGCTCTCCAGGGGCTGTGGGACAGAGCAGGGGCCCAAGAAATGTTTGTGACTTCCTCCCGGAAATCAACCAGATACTTTTGTACTCCATCCCTTGGGCATACCCACTAGGAAGCAGTTTCCTCTGCAAACTTTGAGTGGCCTTGCTGGACAGTAGGGGTTCCTGAGGGTTGCTCCAGTCGGTCAGAGAGAGCTCAAGGAAGTGGCTGGGCCTTAATTGCTGCCGGCCTGGTCTGAACCTCGTCTGTAGGAGTTGGAGGAAAGGAATCAGACTGATTCCTGACGCCCTCTCCTGAGAGTGGAGGTGATTCTAGGTTTCTACATGGGGACACTGAGGCACAGGTAAATGGTATAAAACATCATGAGGAGTTGGGTGGGATGGACGTGGGACACTAGAGTCCAGCACACCGTTTCTCCATCCCTTCATTCATTCATTCATTCATTCATTCATTCATTCATTCAGCCATCCTTTAGTAAGTACCTTGTCTGGTCCACAAGTGGTGCTAGGAGAACACAGTCCCTGGCCTGGCCTCCTCTGAGGTGCAGTCTGAGAGGAGAGGTGAACAGGAAAACACTGATACAGCTTAATGACAGAAGTACTAGAGGAAAGAGGAAAGGCATTAGCTCTGGGTGAATATGTAGGGGATAGTCACTGTGTATTTCCTGAAAGAGGAAGGACTAGAAGAATCAGCGATAGGGAGCCCAGAGGCCTGAATTCTGGTCCTGGCTCTGCCACAGGCAAATGACTGGACTGCCCAGCGGGTATCCCTCATCCTTACTGAGGAGGGCGGGGCTGGGTGGGGGTAGAGACTGGCTTAGATGATGGCTTCTGTGCTTTTAAAGCTCTAGGTGCTTTTCTGCATAGTTGCCATCACCCCGTGTGGGATTGATGGGCTATTGTTTCCCTGTGAGGCTGGAGACTGTCTTCTGCGTTTTTCCTCCCAGCACAGTGCCCTAGCCCTGAGTAGGTATGATAAACACTCAGTGACATAAATGGTTGGAAGGCTCCACAGTCCCTCCTAGAACCGTTCAAGCCCCTTTGTCCCTTTGTCTGCCTGCACCTCCCCCCCACACACACACACACCTTCCTGCTAACTCCTGCTTATACTTTAGCATTCCCAGTGGTTGGGCCACATGCCCAGTTCCCCATACCCCTGTTCTAGTCTGATCACACTTCCCTCCCCACTCTGCTAACTTGTCTTGTTCACGCTTGTGATCAGCTCTGAGCAGAGTGCTGACATGTAGGAGATGCTCACTAAATGCCTCCTGACTAATAGGTGATGGTCAGGTTTTGTGTTGGGGTCCAAGTCCTGTGTCTGGGCTGAGGAGTTGTCTTGGCCTGCTCTCCCCGCTATAGTGTATCTCTCTCTACTCCCACCTCCAGACCTGGTTCTAGGCAGGCTGAACCACTCAGCATTCTCTAGATGTCATATTCTATCCCCTCCAGGCAAACATGTGCTGTTTCTTCTGCCTGGAATGCTCTTTCTCCAACTCCTACTCCCTCAGCAGTCAACTCAGGCAACACCTTTTCCGGAGAGCCTTCCCTGACCGCACCGGTCTGCGTCTAGTGTTTCTCCATGTTCCCATAGCTTTCGGGCTCCCCCCAGCAGTGTCCTGGGCTCTCAAGAGCCAGTTGTAACTGTTGACTTGGCATCTCCCCCGTAGACTGTTTGATTCTCTCTTGTCACCCCAGAGCCCAGCTGAGGCCTGGCACCGAGCAGGCACTCAAAATGTTGACAGCACAGCGGGCAACTCTGATAGTCACACACATCCCTGCTGACAGTAGCTCTTGCTTTCTCACAGGGAGGCAGCTTCCATGGAGCGAAAGGAATGCCAGGACCCTGCCCAGACAGACGTGGGCCAGCCTCAGCACCGACAGCCAACACGCAGATAGCAGAGCCGTCCACAGGGTAAGGACTAGGCCCCGCCTTCCAGACTAGCTGTGGCCTCCGCTTAGGTGCCTTCCCCAGCCTGGGGAGCAAAGGGTGGTATGTTCATCTCTATAGTCCTTTGCTCTTCTCACTGTAGGTCCATGGCCTCTAGGGCCGGGGTGGCAGAAGACAGAATTCTTCCTGCTTCTCCCGACTCTGGCCACCTAAGTAGTATGAGGTTACTGTATTCTTCAAATGCCAATGTTAAGTTTCATTGCCAGCCTCTGCTTTATCTCCTTCAGCCCAGATCTTGTCAGTCTGGGTTGTTTTGAATGCTGCCTCGTGACCACATATCCCCAGGCATGTTCCATGGAACACCAGTTTCTTTGGTCACGGTGGGAAACAACAGCTTCTTACTCTTGCTGCAGGACTTCTCAGAGCCTTGAGTGCATTGAAATGAGCATGATGAGTCTCTGAGAGGGAGCTAGCAAGTTGTGTTTCTCCACACTTATTTCATCATGTGGGTGGACCTCTGCGGGCTGGGGTTCCTTGGCCTAGTCTTTGGAAAACAGCCCCCAAAGGCAGGAGAGTGCACTGGTGAGGACCGACACTTTGTAGTCACACCTGAGTTTGAGTTCTAGCTGCCTCGTGCTCCGTGAGTGGCTGTGGACCAGTTACTGTACCGCTCTGAGCTTCAGTTTCCTCATCAATGAAAAGGGGATAATGTTAGCACCTTACCTCCCTTTAGAGTATTTTGAAGATTAAATGTGTTGACATAGGGAAGGCACTTAGAGTGTGTGTCCCAGACATGTTTCCTAATCATAGCAGCTGTGCGTATAGACTGCTTTATAATTCATAAAACAACCTTTATCAGTGACCTCCTTTGATCATTTGAGGAAGCTCAGGCAGTGGCCTATATCCCCCGTTTACAGATGTGGAAACTAAGGCTCAGAGGGAGGAAGACAGGGACATGCGCCTTGAACCTGTTCCTGGAATCCTGGGCCTGTGCTCTGTGCCAAAGGCCTCCCTGCACCCACTTCCCACCTCAGCTTTTTGTTGAGGAAGGCCTGGCCCTCCCCAGCCTGGATTTTAAAAGAAATAATTATCTTATGTATTATTATTATTATTATTATTATTTTTGTAATCACCAACATAGTTGCATGTTCATTATGTTTTTATAACGTTTTGGTTTTAATGTCATATAGAAAGTGAAAGTCTCCCATGATCCCCATCTCCAGAGGTGTGAATGGGGAAAGGTATATTCTTCCACATGTTTTATTACCATTTGCTTATTTATCTACAATGAAGTCCTGTTATAGCTGCTGGGTCACAGCTTGCTGTTGCTTCATTTAACGGTTTCCCTTGGACCACTTTCAAGCGAGGGGAGGTCTGCGAGTATGCATCTGGTCAGAGAGTCCTGACACTCTCCTGGTTCTACCCC